CTTCTCCATCCCGCCCCCCCCCGGGGCCTTGCCTGTCACCCCAAAACAAAGGAGGACTGGGCCACTGAGGCTGGGTGCCTGACCCACGGGGATGCTGGTACTCTCTGGAAGTTCCCAGCTGCCTGGGGTGCAACCTCCAGGAGAAAGTTCGAGGACACAAAGCTCCAGCAGAGGCCTGGCCAGGGCAGGGAACGCCCTCTGGGCTGAGCCGTGTCTGGGTCCCCCCCTAAAGAATTGCTCCTCGGCTGCAGGACGCACAGGGACCCCCAGGCGGCCCCCTTATGAGGTCCCAGCTCCGATCACACACCTGGGGTGGCAGGGAAAGGGGGGTCTCCATGCAACAGTGACCCCCGTTTCTCACACTGCAAGGCGCTGGCTCAGGCTTTGCCGGGATGCTTCATCTGGCCTAGCTTCCGTGCAGGAGGAGGCCAGTGCCGAGGCCTCGTGTGGCATTGCCGGCTGTCTGGCACGTGAGCCCAGGCGGCTTCTCCTCCCGAGTCTCCTCCCCTGGGGCTCGTGGCTGTGGACCCAGGCAATGACAGGTCTGGGATAGGTTCACGTCACTGTGCCCGCGACAATGCAGCCTTGAGGGAGGACATCGCAGAGCTCTAGCCTCAGTTTCCCTATCTGTGATGGTGCCCTCTGCCCCCGGGGCAGCTGGGAATGACACATGGGGTCAGGCGACCCCTGAGAAGGCCCTGAGAGACCTGCTCCCTCCGAGGGGTATGCGCTGGAGGCTTAGTCCCAGAGTCCTGTTTATTTTATTATTATTTTTTTGTGCCAGTTCTGGGGCTTGAACTCAGAGCCTGGGTGCTGTCCCTGAGCTTTTCTGCTCAAGGTTTTTGCTCTACCACTTGAGTCACACCTCCACTTCTGACTTTTTGCTGGTTAATTGGAGATAAGAGTCCCAGGGACTTTCCTGCCCAGGCTGGCTTTGAACTGTGATCCCCAGATTTCAGCCTCCTGAGTAGTCAGGATGACTAGTGTGAGCCAACACTGGCTGGCTAGTTTCCCTGTTCTATCTACTCCCTGGACCAGCGTTCTGGGAGTTCAGGTTGCTCCTGGAGGGAGGCTGCTATCCACTGGCTGCCCTGGACACACATCTTCTAGTTTGAATCCTTCCTACCGTCCTGTGTGGCTGGAGAGCCTGGAACGCAGTAGGTGCTCAGTGTGTGCTTCGTCTTGCAGGGCAGGGCTGGCTGGGTTGACCTCCCAGGTCAAAGGAACCCAGGGGGCAGCTGGAGCGGGGCCTGGCCTGCATCACTGCTGGAGCGCCAGCCTCTGCCCCCAACTTCCCAAGTGGCGGGAAAGATTCCTTTCACTCCTTACAGAGAGAGCGAAGTTACAGTGGAGTTGCAACTACACTTTGCAGAGGGGGAAACTGAGGCACAGAGGACTGTGATCCACTGGACAGCCCCACAGAAGCAAAGCTGGCATGTTTTGACAATCCAGGACTATAAGATCCACCAACATCCACAACCAGACACCTTGAAGACACCTAGGACCCCAGACAGCCCTTTCTGCCCGTGCTGACACCCATTAAGTGTTTGGCTAAGCTCTGCTTGGCATGCTAGAAGTAGCCTAAACAGGGACTTCCTGTATGAACCAGGGACAGGATGCTTTGTGCTGAGACCCAGCGCCCCCTTGTGGGGCTATGCTGTTCCTCACAGTTCATTTCTGTGTCCTGTGCCGGTCTTTTATGTGAGCCCTAAAGGAATGATTACTGGCAATCCATTCCACTCCTCCCCCAGGGAGCTAGCTGAGTGGCCCAGGAATTCTTTAGCTGGAATTAATTAAGCACACTTTATTGAGGACATCCTACTTTTGCAGGGTGCTGTGGGCACTCATTTCCTTTTATTTTCTCAAAATGAATATATCTTTTTGTGGGGTTTAAAAACGCACATTCCTTTCTGTAACTGTAATCCCTCTGTACATCACCTTTATAATAACAATAAAGTAAATTTAAAATCAATGCATGCTCTAATCCAGGTGCCGGTGGCTCACGCCTGTCATCCTAGCTACTCAGGAGGCTGAGATCTGAGGATCGCAGTTTGAAGCCAGCCCAGGCAGGAAAGTCTGTGAGACAATCTCCAGATAACCACCAAAGAGCTAGAAGTGGAGGTGTGACTCAAATGGTAGAGCAAAAGCCTTGAGCAAGTCAGGTGGGATCATGAAACTGTGAGTCCAAACTCCTCCTCCCCCTTCCCCACCCCCAAAGTAGAGCCATCTTAGATGACACCTTTGGGCGCAAGCTTCACAATAACGGATCTGGCAATGATTTTTTTTTTTTTTTTTGGTCGGTTGTGGGGCTTGAACTCTGGGCCTGGACACTGTCCCTCAGCTTTTCAGCTCAAGGCGAGCACTCTACCACTTGAGCTACAGCGCCACTTCTGGTTTTTCTAGTGGTTTATTGGAGATAGGAGTCTTATGGTCTCTCCTGCCCGGGCTGGCTTTGAACCGGGATCCTCAGATCTCAGCCTCCTGAGTAGCTAGGATTACAGGTGTAAGCCACCGGTGCCCGGCTTTGGCAATGATTTTTGAATGTGACACCAAAGGCATGTACAACTTCAACAACAGGCACATCAGATTTTATGAACATAAAAAAAAATGTCCAGAAGTGGCGCTGTGCCTCAACTGGTAGAACGTTAGCCTTGAGCACCAAGAGGCTCTGGGACAGTGCCCAGGCCCCGAGTTCAAGCTCTAGGACAGGTGAAAAGAAAAGGAGGCGGAGGAGGAGGAGGGGGAGGAAATTTTTTTAAATGCTCATCAAAAGACAATATCGGTAGATTAAAAAATAAACTACAGAATAAGAGAAATATCATTTGCAAATCATATCCTGATAAAGGATTAAAATCCAGAATATACACAGAACTCCTAAAATTCAACAACACAAACCCAAACAGAGCAAAGTGTGTGTCTTGGCAGTAGGACACCAGCGTGGCAGGTGCAAGGCACTGAGTTCAAGCCCAAGTATTGCCAAAAAGGAAACAAAACAAAACAGAAAACAGGCAAAATGTGGAGACAACTTGCTGCTAGATGTATAAATAAGCAAAACACGGTACACACAGGTAATAGAACATTACTCATTATTTTTATTTTGATTGTTGTTGTAAAGGTTGTTTTTTTTTTTTTTTGGTCGGTCGTGGGACTTGAACTCTGGGCCTGGGCGCTGTCCCTCAGCTCTTCAGCTCAAGGCAAGCGCTCTACCACTTGAGCTGCAGCGCCACTTCTGGTTTTCTGGTGGTTTATTGGAGATAGGAGTCTCACGGTCTCTCCTGCCCGGGCTGGCTTTGAACCGCGATCCTCAGATCTCAGCCTACTGAGTAACTAGGATTACAGGCGTGAGCCACCAGCGCCCGGCTGTTGTTGTAAAGGTTGATGTACACAGGGGTTACAGTTGCATAAATTAGGTAACAAGTACATTTCTTTTTGAATGCTTCCCTTCCCTCCTTCTCCCCCAGGTTTTCCCTCCAGTCACTCACAAGTTGTACAGCTCATTTTCAACAAAGTATCTAGTGAGTACCACTGTTGCATGTGTTCACCCCTTAGTATTCAGGCTTTGAAAGAAGGGGGAATTCTGGTTTGTGCTACCAGAAAAAAAAAAAAAAAGAGTTGAACTCAATTGTAATTGTAATTTTAGGAATGGGATAAAGTTTCAAGTTGAAAAAAATCTGTGGAGACTGATGGAGATATTAGTTGTGTGACCCTGTCAATGCCTTTAACACTGTTGAGCTATGTGTGTGTGTAAAAGTGGTTTTTGCATATAACACCCCATGAGCTAACAATGGAGAGGTGAGTCAGAGAGATTGGAGATTCTCTTTGGCAATGTGAGGATTCCTTATGGTCCAGGTGGCTGGGTGAAGGAATGTTCTGGTCTCTAGGGTGGGGCTACACCCAGCAAGTCAACCTGGACCCTGATCCCAGTTCCCAGGAAAGGAATTCAGTCAGCGTCCTGGGTGAGCTAATCTTTCCTGCCTGAGGCCCTGGGGCAGGAACTTAGTCTGCATGCTGGACTTCTGACCTCCAGCACTGATACAGAACAACTAGGAGTTGTTGTTTTTTAATTTTATTTTATTTTTGTAGGTTGTGGGGCTTGAACTCAGGGCCCAGGCACACAGTTCCTGAGCTTTTTTTTGCTCAGGGCTATGCTCTGCCACTTTGGGTCACAGCGTGACTTCCATCTTTCTGGTAGGTCATCGGAGACTTTCTTGCCTTGAACCGACCCTCAGACCTCAGCCTCCTGAGTAGCGAGGATAGATTACAGGTGTGAGCCACCAGCATCCAGCACTTGATTCGTTTTATGCTGTTTGCAATCATGTGTCTTTACAGCAGTAGAACAGTAATACAAGCTCATAGGCTCACCTAGGCTCGGCTTGGTGGCTTCTGGAAAGTGATTTTCACGTTGCTAATGATTTGTGCAGAGCTCTGGAGAAGCACTTCTTGGCGATCTCAAGAACAACATCAATTATCTGCTAAAATTCATTCTTGGACTCCGGGAGCTGGTGGCTCACTCCTGTAATTGTAGCTACTCAGGAGGCTGAGAGGATGGATCACGGTTCATGGTTCATGAGGATCAGGGTTCGAAACCAGCCTGGGCAGCCCGCGATTCTTCTCTCCAATGAACCTCCAAAAAAAGAAAAAAGAGAAATAAGTAAGTAAATAAGTGAGGCGCTCCCGGATCCGGGGTGGAGCTCGGCGGCCGGGCGGCGGGCCAGCCAGAGCAAGTGTCTGACTCGGTAGGCCCGGGAGGGCCCGGTAACCTGCATTGCAAAACGCGCTTCCGGTCCTGGGCCACCGCCGGACAGCTGCGCTCGGCGGCTCAGCCTTCGCCCAAGCCCTCGGGGCTGGCTCCTCCCTGATTGGACGGAAGTTAAGCTCCGCTCCGGAGCGCTCCGTCCTCATTGGCTAGCAGTGAAGGGCATCCCCTGGCGTCACGGAGCGGTCGCTCCGCCTCCCCGGCGCCCGGGCGGCCCGCGCGCCTGCGCAGTGGGGCCCGGCGCTGGCGGGTCGTGCGCTCCGGGGAGGCTCGGGGTCCGGCGCGTGGCGGCCGATGGCGGAGCCCCGGGGCGAGCTCGAGCCTCTTTTGGGCCGGGCCCGTAGCGGCGGCAGCAGCGACTTCCCGCCGGGGCAGTTCGCTCAGGTGGGCCCGGGTGAGTGACAGCGGGGTGAGGGCCCCGGGTCGCGGGGGTCGGAGGGGGCGCGGGGAGGGGGTCCCCGTCCCCGGGGCCCGGGGTCGCGCCCGGAACCGGACCCCGGACCTTGGGCTGCCCACGGTCATGCTGGGGCCTTCCGTTCTGTGCCGGTCCTGGGGCTTGAACCCAGGGCCTGGGGCTTGAACCCAGCTTTTCCGCTCAGGGCCGGCGCTCTGCCACTTGAGCCACGGCAGCACTGCCAGCTTTTTGGTAGTTAATTGGATGTAAGAGTCTCACAGACTTCCTGCCCAGGCTGGCTTCGAACCTCTGTCCTCACATCTCAGCCTCCTGAGTAGCTAGGATGACAGGCGGGAGCCACCGGCTTCCAGTTCTTCCCTCCCCTTTCTCCCGGTTTCTCATGGGGAAACAGACTCCGAGAAAAGCGCCAGTAGGTGTCTGGAGGGAGATCCTGGAGTCCCTGGGGTGCCGTTGGACCCCAGCTCCAGGTCTGGGCTGGGCCGCGGCTCTGTCACAGGCCCTCCTGCAGCAGCCGCCTCCTCTGGCCTTCAGCTGCCTTCTGTCCTTCCTGTTTGTGGTCTGAGGGATTGCTGAATCCAGGGAGGGTGTGGGCTGGGGACGGGCCCACCTCAGGGGAATCAGGTGCTGGGTTCCAGGCGGCAGGACCCCCGTCTCTATTGACCGGTGAGGAAATTGAGGTCCCGAGACCTGCCCAAGGTCACACCCTGCCTCTGGGTGCCTCCCTTCATGCCTGGCTGCTTCCCACGCTGGTCCAGCCTCCTTCCCGGGTTGGGCTGGGTGAGCAGTGTATGCCCCGGGCGATCCACAGTGGGTGGCCACAGGATTGGCAGAAGGTGAGGAAGTGGAGGCCGGTGGCCCCACGCCCCCCCTGTGCCCTTCCCCAAGCTCCCGGTGGCCTCCGTGTGGGTGGGACATCCTTCCTCCCAGCCTATGCCCGGTCCTTGTGTCTGGACAGGGGTGCCTTTCTGGGGCTGCCGCTTGCAGGCCTGGTGGGCTTGGGCGGGTGCGTAGCCTTGCTGAGTCTCAGGAGAAGGGGATGGACGTCCTGAGCCTCAAGCGAGGGGATGGAGGGGGCTGGCGCTGGGCCGGGTGGGAATGCCGCCGCCGTGCCTGCTGGTCCCGGCGCTGGCCGAGGAAGTGAGTGGCACGTGTGATCGGAGACGCGAGTCAGCGCTGGGCTGTGTGGCTCAGGACAGTGTCTGTTGTCTTTGTCCTTCGGCCGGGCTGCTTGTGAGAATGGCTCATTCAGCCTCCCCTGGGAGCACCCACAGCCGGGAGACTGGGTGGGGGGGATGCCCTGGGCTCCTGTGTCCTGCAGCGGGACCCTCCTGCTGGTGTGGGGGTGGGGAGTGCTGCTGTGGGGTGCCCACTCCTCAGGGGACCCCAGGTCCTCCTGGCTCAGCCCCAGCAGAGGACAGGCCCTGGCCAAAGGTTGAGGAGGGTGATTCTTCTTGTTGCTGGCTCAGGAAGTCTTCTACCTTTTTTGCTGAATGTGTTCAAGGATGTGGGGTTGTATTGACGCTCTGCAAAGCGTTAGCGCAGGACCCCCCCCCCCTTACCCTATTGAGGACTGTCTGCGAGGTTGGGGCACACCAGGGCTGCACAAGATGCGATGGTGCGGGGGCCAGTGTAGAGCAAGGCGGGGAGTGAGCTTAGGTCTGATGTTGGGGAACACAGGTGTGAGGAGCAGGCCCGGCATCTGCGCTGTGAGAACCACTTTGTGGGTGGTGGAGTGGACAGGTGACGGCTGCTCTTTGCCTAGGAAGGGCTGGCAGAGGATGGGGGGAGCCTGGGCTTCCCTCGGGCTCTGCCCTGGACCACCATGTGGGTGTGGCATGGTGCCAGGGAGCGAGTGGGACCTTGGGCCTCAGGGTTTGCTTCTGGGAGGCAGGCTGGCGGCTGGTGATGCCCATGGGGCAGAGGTGGAGATGCCTGCAGTCCCCATGGGGGTGGAAGAGCCTGCTGTGACCCGAGCTCAGTGCTCTGCAGACGCTGCCGCCTCTCGCGTGCCCTCGGCACTGTGCCCCTGGGCAGGGGCAGTGGTGGAGGCAGGCCACCCCTGCTCCAGGCCCGGGACCCTGGGCACATGGGTGCCTCCCCCACCTTGTTGGGACCTCACCCTGGGCGGGTGACACGTGCCACATCACAGGGTGGGGGACCTCGGGCGAGGCCGCGGGCCCCTGGATTGGTCACCCGATGTTGTCCCTTCTGCCCCTAGGTGCCGGCGCTGGCCAGGACCTCTGCATCAACCAGGCTGTGGTCTTCATTGAAGATGCCATCGAGGTGGGTGGTGGCCACCATGCTGGCTGGGCGTGCCCCCTTGCTCCTCGCTGTCCCGGGGCGGAGCCTCGGCCGCTGGCCTGCGGGGCATCGCGGCCCGGCTCTCAGTCCTCACCATCTTCGGAGGGTCTCATTGATGGACCGCTGACCGAAGCCTGGTGGGCCTCCCCGAGCCAGGTCATACCTGGGGGTGGGGGCAGGCCTCGCTAGGCAGTGGGCATGGCTGCTGTCTCTGAGTGCCCCTCGGGCACCCGCCTTCCGGGGTGCCCGGCTGGGGGAGAGCTTGGTGTGGTGTGTGATGGTGGAGGGGCGTCTGTCCTCTGCCGGCAGGGACCTGCCCCCACACCCCCACCTGTCCCCTCCATTGGGCTTTTCTTGGGGGGGGCTGCAGTGCTGTGTTTGGCTGTGTGTGGTAAGGGGGCACAAACCAGAGAACCAGGGAACATGGGGGGTGCGGCCCTGAGAGGCCCCTGGCCCATCCCCCACTCACTCGCCCTGCCGGGCCTCTCTCCCCCAGTACCGCTCCATCTACCACCGAATGGACTCTGGCTCGCTGTGGCTGTACCGCTGCTATTACTCAAACTGGTGCCAGCGGTGAGAAGGCGGGAATGGTGGTCTCTGAAGACCTGCTCGGTGGGGTGGGCTGGCCTCACCTGTTTGGGGGTGCCAAGTCTGTCTCCTTACGCTTTTGGGTGCAGAGGTGGCCCTGACCCCCTTCAGGGGAGGAGCCAGCCCTGGGGCTAGGATGCAGCTCCATCCTGTGCGGACCCGGTCAGTGATGTTTGAGCACTTGCTGGGTGGACCCAGCCGGGAAGGGCTGCAGTTTGCCCTCTGGGCAGTTGCCTGCAGGGATGGGGGTGTGGGGGGCTTCCTGGCCCCAGGCAGTTGTACTTGCCCTCTAATCTGGTTTGTCTCCTTCCCAGGGCTCTGAGTGCCGCCATTTTCCTGATCCTGGCTTTGGCTTTTGTGGAGACACCTTCCTCGTTCACCCGGACAGCAGACGTGCGCTACCGCCCTCGGCCCTGGGAGCCGCCCTGTGGCCTGACTGAGGGCGTGGAGGCGCTCTGCCTGCTGCTCTTCGTGGCCGACGTCTCCGTGAAGGTGAGGAAGGTGGGCCTTGTGCCCCGCTGGTCCCTGACCACTTCTGCTCCGTCCCGATGCCGGGCTGCCTGCTGCTTCTCTGGCCTTTGCTCTTTGGCCCAAGCTTTTGCTTGTGTCCGAGCTTTGGGGCAGAGGATGCAGCTCCTTTCCCTCCCCACAATGCATGCTGGGTATGAGCTGTGCCACGAGGCTGGCAGCCTGTGGGGTGATGGAGGCGGGCCGCAGGGGCCCCATGAAGACTAGGATCCTCTCCTCATGGCCCACATTGCTGGCTCCGGTGGAGAGGATGTAGGGCAAGGAGCGACCTCTTGTCACAGAGAGGCTGCTGGGTACCTGTGACTGGATCCTTCTGGAAATGGGGTGAGGGGTGGGTAGGGGAGGGGGCTTCACTGCTAGGTGCATATGAGTACGTGTGTGTGTGTGTGTGTGTGTGTGTGTGTGTGAAGTTGTGGGCTCTAGGCAGTTCCTCACTTCGTGCTTTTAGCCCATCATGTGGTTGGCAGATTAGGGTTTTTTGTTTTTTTTTTGTCGGTCGTGGGGTTTGAACTGGGGGCCTGGGCGCTGTCCCTTAGCTCTTCAGCTCAAGGTGAGCGCTCTACCACTTGAGCTGCAGCACCACTTCCGGTTTTCTGGTGGTTTATTGGAGATAGGAGTCTCACGGTCTTTCCTGCCCGGGCTGGCTTTGAACCGAGATCCTCAGATCTCAGCCTCCTGAGTAGCTAGGATTACAGGCGTGAGCCACCAGCGCCCGGCTCAGATTAGGGGTTTTTAAACTGGAACCCGAACTGCTAGGAAGTTACCACGAGTTGTTTTGGAGAGGCTGGAGGTGAGGGGTGCATTGGTCTCCAGGCTGGGGCCTTGGGGTGGCCGCTCCAGGGAGGGGGGAGGCAGTTAGGAGGGGCAGAGCGGGCATGTGTTCGTTCCAAACTCCCTCGCGGTAACCCGTTTGCATCTCACCTTTACAGTAGCAACCAAAATAAACCAAAAGAGGAACCGAGGGCAGGGAGGCCTGTGCCATACTTGAGATTGCACCGCAGCCGCTCTGGGTCCCGGCTGGGGCCGTGCGCTGTGCCCCATGCCCATGGAGACCGCACTGCTCCCCATCCCCCTCCACCAGAGCCGGGGTCCTCTGCCTGCCATGCACCCCTCACCCGTCCCCGTTCTTACAGGGCTACCTGGTGGGGAGGGCCCAATTCCAGAAGAATCCGTGGCTGCTGGCCTACCTCGTGGTGCTGGTGGTGTCCCTGGTTGACTGGACGGTGTCCCTGGGCCTGGCTTGTCAGGAGGTGGGTGGTGTGGCAGCTCTGGGGGGGGGTGCAAGCTCTGTGGGGCAGGGATGTGGGCTGGGGGGTGCAGGGCGTGGGCCCTGGGGTGGCCCTGGGGAATCTCGCGCTGTTCACCAGTGGGGTCCCAGCAGCTGGGGATGGGAATCTGAGACCTGGGTCCGGCCGGGGTCCTGGGGCGTCCTGTTGGCTAGGGGAGATGCCAGAGTGACGTCTGGGCTGCTCTGACTCCCACTCCTGGCCTGGCTGGTCCCCACAAGTGCTGACCCGGGGTCTCATCACACACAGCCGTCGCCTGCCCAGAGCGTGTTGAGGCCCTGCAGTGAGCTTACTTACCGGCCGCCAGCAGGGCTGGCCAGGGAGTCGGTTCCCGTTGCAGGGAGCGGCCGGGGGCATGTTGGCCGCTAAACCTGTCAGCAAGGGCGAGAAGAGCGGCCTCAGGCCTAGAGGGGCAGGCCAGCGCCGTGGCTGGTGGGCTCTCTGGCTTCTGGGGGCTCTTGCTGTGGGATGGGTGAAGGCCGCTGGGAACCCAGTGGTTTCCAGTCCGTGGGCTTCTCCGGTCTCTTCCAGCCGCTGCGCATCCGCCGGCTGCTCCGCCCCTTCTTCCTGCTGCAGAACTCCTCCATGATGAAGAAGACACTGAAGTGCATCCGGTGGTCGCTGCCCGAGATGGCCAGGTGGGTGGTGCTGGGTGCCTGGGACTCAGGTGCTCTGCCTGGGGGCGTGGTGGACAGGACTGCGTCGGCAGGCTGCCCTGGCCCAGGTTTTGCGGTGGCCGGCAGCGTTGCGGGGTTACAGGCCCCGCTGCAGACCCCGCTGGGGTCCCTGAGTCCCAGGGAAGTCTTTTTGCTGGTCTTTGTCCTCTGTGTCCTGCTGTGGCTGCCACT